ATGTTCTCAATCAGACAGAGTGGTCCGCGGTGTTAGAAATCAGAACAGTGTTTACTTTGGGGGAAGGAAAAAGGAGGTGGTGTCTGGGTGTGGGCACATGGCAGGCTTCTGAAGAGCTGGTAATGTTCTGTTTCTTGATTGGGGTATGGGTGTGTTCACTCGGTGAAGACTCATTGTGCTGTACCTTATGATATGTGCATTTTCTGCACATATGTGTATTTCAACTAAAAAACATTTTAGAAAAATGATACTAATTAGAATAGCTTAACATTAAAAGTATATTAAAAGATGATTTAGGGGCTTCCCTGGTGGCGCAGTGGTTGAGAGTCCGCCTGCCGATGCAGGGTACACGGGTTCGTGCCCCGGTCCAGCAAGATCCCACATGCCACAGAGCGGCTGGGCCCGTGAGCCATGGCCTCTGAGCCTGCGCATTCGGAGCCTGTGCTCCGCAACGGGAGAAGCCACAACAGTGAGAGGCCCGCATAACGCAAAACAAAAACAAAAACAAAAATAATGAAGGAAACAGATTTAAAGTATTCTAATAAAGTTTTATTACATTAATTGCATATAGTTACAGTAAGTAGGTTGGCAATACAGGGGGAAAGTAACTCTGTAAGGCTGACTTGGAAGGATAGTTAAAAATTATTTCTTATTAGCATAGTGACCACTAAAATATTTGTTTTAAATTACTGGAAAACACATTTTTCCTTTCAGGTAAGGAAAGCATTTCCATACCCAGTCCCTACCATATGCTCACATGTCTATATGCTATTCACCATCCTTTGTTTATAGGTAAAATTAACACCAACAAATGGAACTGACTTTTGTTAGTGCTTTAAAGAATATTTACTGATTTATATCAATCTCACTAACATCAAAGATACAGGTCACAATGCCCTTCTGAATTCACTGCTTCAAGTAGCGCTTATCAGTCCTGTTTGCACACTTTTTGAAAAATATAGATTTCTGGATCACCCTTGAGGATTCTGATTCAGTAGGACTGCAGTAGAGTGTGTGTACCATCAACATTGATTTAAACCTGTGAATTACCAAGAATTCTAAGTAATAGAATCCAAATTTTTAAGTTTATTACTCTCAGCATTGCTATTTTCTTTTTCTGAATTTTCTCTGGTATTTCAGCAGATAGCAGGCATAAGTAAATATTTATCGAAAGTATTTAACTGAATGCCTGTATAAGATTACTGCAAAAAGTAGTAGAAAACAAAATTATTAATTGAAAATAGTGATAAAACATTTAAAATTTTACTTATATATCAAAATGATTTAAAGAAAAAATGAAATGAAAATAATGTTGGCACAATCTAAAAAGAAGATGTGGTAATATGTAAATCTATTTAAAACACCCTTACCATATAGAATGTATTTTCCTTATTACATATGGAATTAGTGTATTAGAGACTACAACTTTATAATAATAAAAGACTGTAATCACATTCGGTAACTTTCTATTTAATCATAACAGCTTTCCAGCATAAATAAATGGATTGGATTTACTTTGTATGAAAATTGTATTATCAAAAACCTCACAAAGTAGAGACTATCCACATTAAATGGTCAGGTCTACTATATGGTATTGTTACATATAAATGTTGTTTTGTGGATGAATTCATTATCATTTTAGTGTTAGTTGAATTGGTCATTAAGTAATCTTGTTTTAGAAGTGGTTATTTTGGTCACTGTAGTTTTATGCTGGCAGTTACTGACATTGGAATCACCCATGGTACTAACAGTAGTTGTGCTAGCTGGTTCAGCTGAAGTGGTGGCCACTGTGGTAGTCGTGGTCTCAGTAGAAGTGGTGGAAGCAGTTGTGTCTGTTGTGGTTTCAGCCTCAGTGGTAGTGCCAGCCGTTGTTGTGGTAGTTGGTTGAGTTGTGGTGGTGGCCACTGTGGTAGTTGTAGTCTAAGTGGACGAATCAGTTGTGTCTGTTGTGGTTTCAGCCTCAGTGGTAGTGCCGGCTGTTGTCGTGGTAGCTGGTCGAGGTGTGGTGGTGGCAACTGTGGTAGTTGTAGTCTAAGTGGACGAATCAGTTGTGTCTGTTGTGGTTTCAGCCTCAGTGGTAGTGCCGGCTGTTGTCGTGGTAGCTGGTCGAGGTGTGGTGGTGGCAACTGTGGTAGTTGTAGTCTAAGTGGACGAATCAGTTGTGTCTGTTGTGGTTTCAGCCTCAGTGGTAGTGCCGGCTGTTGTCGTGGTAGCTGGTCGAGGTGTGGTGGTGGCAACTGTGGTAGTTGTAGTCTAAGTGGACGAATCAGTTGTGTCTGTTGTGGTTTCAGCCTCAGTGGTAGTGCCGGCTGTTGTCGTGGTAGCTGGTCGAGGTGTGGTGGTGGCAACTGTGGTAGTTGTAGTCTAAGTGGACGAATCAGTTGTGTCTGTTGTGGTTTCAGCCTCAGTGGTAGTGCCGGCTGTTGTCGTGGTAGCTGGTCGAGGTGTGGTGGTGGCAACTGTGGTAGTTGTAGTCTAAGTGGACGAATCAGTTGTGTCTGTTGTGGTTTCAGCCTCAGTGGTAGTGCCGGCCGTTGTCGTGGTAGTTGGTTGAGGTGTGGTGGTGGCAACTGTGGTAGTCATAGTCTCAGGAGAAGTGGTGGAAGCAGTGGTGGCTGTTTTGGTCATACCCTCAGTTATATCTGTGATCGTTTTTGCAGTTGAAGTGGCGTCTGTTGCAATTGTGGTTTCTGTGGAATCAGTGGTTGGTATACTTGTAAGTTCCGTTGAAGTGTGCTCAGTGATGGTAGTCATGGTACCGGATGTTGTGGTAGAATCTATTGTGCTAGTGGCAACTGTAGTTTTGGAACTATCAGATGAGCCTGTTTCAGTCAATGAGATTGTCCCCTGGTTTTGAGTAAGTTGTATAAAAATGGGGGCATTATTATTTTTCCCATTATACACCAGAGACACTATGAGTACTCCAATTGCCACTGTTATCACAGAAGCTAAGAGACAAGCCAGGAATATTTTCCACAGAGACCAGCCACTAAACAAATTTCGTGTCACCTGGAAAGGATTTAAATATAATTACTGAAGTTGAAACCAAATGTTGCAAGAAAAATATGTCATTTATAATCTTTTTATATATAGATTACCTCAGTGGAAGAAGGTATAAACATAAAAAATACCTTAATAGCCTGTAGTAATAAATATTGGCTCAAGTTTAATGTTTCATTTGGGAAAGGCTTGGTCTTTGTAATAGGAATAAAGGAATATCCACTGATCTGTCTGCTTTCTTTTCATATGTATTTAAAACTAAAAGAAATATTAAATGTCATCTTAGAAACTGTTTATTCCTCCCACCATCAAATGAAATATCTACACATGTGTGTCTGACTGCTGCACACAGTGATTTGAGGGACCCCAAATATCACCTGATAGAATCTTCTCTCTTCATTGGCCTATCAACTATCAGATTTGTGTCTGCTTTATAGCCTTCCATTTGAAATGCATTCATTAATGGCCTACCAAATAATCTAGCTAGGTGTTCATACAGGTTAGTAATGGCAGCATGAAAATCAGAGTTGAATACATTTGTTGAAATCCATCTTGTGCTGCCACAAGCTATTTTCACTGTGTAAGATGTTAACCTCTTTGATCTTATTTTTTCATCCATAAAAATCGACAAGATTAGAATAGGGATTAATGTCAGTAATATTACTTTGTAATATCTCTCTAATCTGTTATTGTAGAGGAAACATTGCATAGTATAAAACATGTAAGCCTTGAGACAAGAGAGTCTTGAATTTGAATTCCATACCATTAATATTCTGAGCAAGTTTCTTAACTTGCCTAATTCTCAACTTGCCTTGTATCAAAAGTGGGGATAATAATATCTACCTCCAAATGTTATTGAGAAAATTAGAATAAGAAACATCCTTCAAATTAGATTTTTGCACAAGGCGGGGCTTTATAGTAATTAAGGGCATAGCCATTGGAATCTAACAGATTTAGGTTTAAATTTTAAATCCACCTTTTACTAGATAGATGGTGGTATGTGGAAATTTGCCATGTCTTGAAAAGCCTCAATTCCCTTGCATGGATAATATCACCTATTTAATAAGGCTAAACAGTAAATAAGAAAACGGTATGAATAACGTTGTCCTAGCACTTTCTAAGTACTCAAAAAACATTTGATTTCACTAATTAGCTCATTCTTATCCATTTTCTTATGACTGAAAACAATCACTCAAGGAAACAAAGAGCACATATGTCATTGGAGCATGTAGTTGGTAACTCTTCAATTTTCCAAAATAATGAACAGTCTCAGACAATAAACCACAATTTGGGTGTTGAGAGTGACACCCACTAGGCAATCAGAAGCAGTTCAAGGGCATTGGGTACCAAGGCTAAGGGAATTTGTGGCACCAACTAAGAGAGCCCAATGACTAATGGCACCTCCTGCCCCATGTCATCTAGGCCTTAGGAAGGAAATCAAAGGGGGAGGAGACGAAGGACGATACTCACACCTCAGAGGAAAATTACCCTCATTTTTGGTTTGAATTTTTAAAAAGAGGAGCAAGATTAATAAAAACTCATCTTAACCTAACCGGAGACCTGTGCTCAAGTGCTATTATTGCTACTATCTAGACGTGTGAATTCTTACAAACAATCTAAACTTCCTAGACCGTGATGTTTTCCATCTGTGGCTAAGTAAAGGGATCTAAAATAACTTCCAGCTCTCTGATTGGTCTGGTTTGTTTGAGGTCATCAGAGATATATTCTCTAAATAATTCTATCAAAAGCCTTCTTCCACAGTGTTTCTTGTCATTAAGAGTTTATCCTCTCTTCTCTTATCAAAGTCTTCCCAAACTGTCTCTATAGCAGGATTAATCAGAGGAGGGGTGTAGTCCAGAGCCAGAAGAATTGAACCAAACTGCCAGGCATCAGTAGCAATCGTTCAAAATCAAGTTTTCACCTGGAGTAGGGGGTGGAATGGAGGAAAGACTCAGAGATCAGATCTCAAGGGGAAGAAAACAGAATGATGAGAAACAGGGTAGAGAACACGGGAAATCTGCTTCTGGCACCAAACCAAGGCAAGGCTAAATATTTTCTAAGTCAAGGTTGAAAACACATGAGGTCAGAAACAGGAGGCTAACAGAAGGCCCCCAGTTATGCTCAGAAGCAGGAAGGGAAGGAGAGTGAGCCAGATCACCCACAGACTAGGGCCCCAGGGCTTTAACACATGACTTCACCCTCCACTGAGCAAGGGTTACAATGTCATTGACTGTCAATGCATTTGCTGTCATCAGCTACTCGGTCCTCCAAAAAAAGGAACCCAAAACTTTGCTTTTTTTTTGATGCTTATATATTTTCCCTAAACTTTATAGGTGTTTCTTCTTTCCATCAAGATCATTAGCTCCTTAATTTAAGAGTCCCATAAATCTACCTCGTCTGCATTCCCTCTCAGTGATTTGACATGTTCAAAGGATGCTGTAGATTTTCAAAAGAACAATGTTAATTGATTGAATGTTTTTTCTCTAATATTAGATCAAAAACACTTCCATGTGGATTACATCATAACCCAGAGAAACAGTGTCACCCCAGACATTACCTGAAAATGTTGGGATTCTCTGTTTGGAAATTTTGCAAGTCCAAGGGTCCCTCTGTTGATGCAGATGTCATTTAAATTGGGACCAGCATCACCAGTTACATCAATTGATGTTGCAAACTTACAGGCTGAACTCTGAGCTTCATCGTTTCCAAGGTTCGGGAATGGCTGTGTACAGAAAAGAATGGGAGAAAAATAAGATGCTATTGTATTTTGTGTCTAAAGTAATACAATTCGGACAAATATAAATTAGATTGTGTCATATTATGGCTTATTTGATCAAATAAGATCATTTGAAACCTGAGGAATAAATAAATACATTTATTATATTTCTTCTCAAAACAAGAAGATCTAATTAGGTCACCATAAATTACATTTAATTATTTTATATAATTATTCACATTAAAATTCAGGCATTATCTTTTACCTTCATCATATTTAAAGGATTTGTTAAATATCATTATGTGGCAAGCTGATGTAGAGAGATATTTTAAAAAGTCCCATAATAGGATGTGGAGAAAAGGGAACACTCCTACTCTGTTGGTGGGAATGTAAATTGGTGCAACCACTGTGGAAAATAGTATGGAGGATTCTCAAAAACTAAAAATAGAATTATCATATGACCCAGCAATTCCACTTCTGGGAATGTAACTGAAAAAAACAAAAACACTAATTCAAAGAGATACGTGCACCCCAACGTTCATAGCAGCATTATTTACAATTGCCAAAGTATGGAAGCAACCTAAGTGTTCATCAACAGATGAATGGATAAAGAAGATGTGATATATATCTACAGTGGAATCCTACCCAGCCATAAAAAAGAATGAATTCTTGCCATTTGCAGCAACATGGATGGAGCTGGTGTGCATTATGCCAAGTGAAATAAGTCAGACAGAGAAAGACAAATACTGTAAAATAAAAAATATAACCAACTAGTGAATAAAACAGAAAAGAAGCAGACTCACAAATACAGAGAACAAACTATTGGTTACCAGTGGGCAGAAGAAAGGGGGAGGAGGATGGGTGGGGAAAGGGTTATTATGAGACTATATAAAATCATATGTATGAAACTTCTGAAAACTGTAAAGCACTATAGAATTTAAAGAATCTTTAATTCAATAAAAAAAAATTACGTACTTCTGTGTAATTCTACATGGCCATAAATTTGTGTGCTTCAGCTAGTATGGAATAATAAATTTCTTTCCAGAAAAAATTTTTTTTAATAAAATAGAATTTAAAAGTCCCAAGATGAAAATTCTAGAGACTTCAAGGCTTATAAAGAAAAACACTTTGGGGTCTTATTCATAATGAGAAAATCAAATCTAAAGAGGTGAAGTGAGAGTCTAGGTAGAGTAAATCGCAATACGACACTTCTCCCACTGCAATCAATCAATCAAAATTGAAGGGCTTTCAAAGAAGTGAAAATTAGATTAGTTAAAATTTAAAAGAAGAAAGAGCTTTTCCAAAGTGATCTAATAATCATAGGCCATTTTATTTTCTGGGAGCATTCGCTGATTCTGAGTATGAGTTGAGGTTCTGACTAACAAAAGAGTCAGCAAAACTTTTGCTGTTCATGTGAGTCTGGCATAACAGACTGGAAAATAGGGGATCCCCAAACACAAGGCCTTTGTAATGTTCTGGAATAGCTCAGGAGGCTGGACGTCAGGATGGAAAGGCAGAGTAAAGTCTTCAGCAGTATCACAGTGATTAGGAGATAAAATCCTGCTATCAGAAAGGGACTTAAACACAAGACTGGTTTCCCCCTAAGGACATTTGCCTTACTTTGAGGTTGCCTGGCATAGGATGTTAAAGAGCTGACCTTGAAATCTCTGAAGGTCAATCTCTGAAGAATATACATACAAACATTATAAACAAAATAATAGTAAATTAAATCCAAAAACATATCAAAATGGTAAAAACTCATCACCAAGTGAGGTCTACCAAGCTACCTAAACTAACTTAGAATGAAAGTTAGTTTAACATTCAAAACAGCTAATATAATTCACCACATTAACAGAAATAAAGGAGAAAAACACATGTGAATATATCAAAAAAATGCAGAAAGACTTCTGGCAAAATTCAACAACCATCTGTGATAAAATTTCTGAGCAAACTAGTAATAGAAGAGATTTTCCATAATCTGATAAAGGATAGCTCCATAAAACCTAAGCTAACATCATAATTAATGGTGAAATATTTCATGTTTCCCCCTGAATTTGGGAACAACACAAAATGTTCACTTTCACCACTTCCATTCAACATTACACTGGAGGTTGTAGCCAGTGCATTGTTAGGAAAACAAAAATAAAGTTATAAAATATGAAAAAACAAAGACATGACTGGGTTTACAGAAAATCCAAAAGGGGGTACAAGATGGCGGAGCAGAAGGACGCGCTCTCACTCCCTCTTGACAGAACATCAGAATCACAGCTAACTGCTGAACAATCATCGACAGGAAGACACTGGAACTCACCAGAAAAGATACCCCACGTCCAAACACAAGGGAGAAGCAACAGTGAGATGGTAGGAGGGTTGCAATCATAATAAAATCAAATCCCATAACTGCTGGGTGGGTGCCTCACAAACTAGAGAACACTGATACCACAGAAGTCCACCGACTGGATTGAAGGTTTTGAGCCCCACGTCAGGCTTCCAAACCTGGGGGTCCGGTAACGGGAGAAGGAATTCCTAGAGAATCAGACATTGAAGGCTAGCGGGATTTGATTGCAGGACTTCGACAGGATGGGGGGAAACAGAGACTCCACTCTTGGAGGGCACACACAAAGTAGTGTGCACATCGGAACCCAGGGGAAGGAGCAGTGACCCCAGGGGAGACTGAACCAGACCAACCTCTAGTGTTGGAGGATGTCCTGCAGAGGCAGTGGGTGGCTCTGTCTCACCCTGAGGACAAGAACACTGGCAGCAGAAGTTCTGGGAAGTATTCCTTGCCGTAAGCCCTCCCAGACTCCGCCATTAGCTCCACCAAAGAGCCCAGGTAGGCTCCCATGTTGGGGCGCCTCAGGCCAAACCACCAAAAGGGAGGGGACACAGCCCCAGCCAACAGCAGTCAAGTGGATTAAAGTTTTACTGAGCTCTGCCCACCAGAGCAACAGTCAGCTCTACCCACCACCAGTCCCTCCCATCAGGAAACATCCACAAGCCTCTTAGATAACCTCATCCCCCAGAGGGCGGACAGCAGAAGCAAGACGAACTACAATCCTGCAGTTTTGTGGGACAAAAACCACATTCACAGAAAAACAGACAAGATGAAAAGGCAGTGGGCTATGTACCAGATGAAGGAACAAGATAAAACCCCCGAAAAACAACTAAATGATGTGGAGATAGGCAATCTTCCAGAAAAAGAACTCAGAATAACGATAGTGAAGATGATACAGGACCTCAAAAAATGAATGGAGGCAAAGATCCAGAAGATGAGAGAAAGGACCCGAGAAAATATTTCAAGAGACTATAGTCGAAAACTTCCCTAACATGGGAAAGGAAATGGCCACCCAAGTCCAGGAAGTGCAGAGAGTCCCATACAGGATAAAACCAAGGAGAAACACACTAAGACACATACTGATCAAATAGGCAAAAATTAAAGACAAAGAAAAATTATTGAAAGCAGCAAGGGAATAATGACAAATAATATACAAGGGAACTCCCAGAAGGTTAACAGCTGATTTCTCACCACAAACTCTACAAACCAGAAGGGAGTGGCAAGATGTAATTAAAATAATGAAAGGGAAGAACCCACAACCAAGATTACTCTACCCAGCAAGGAACTCATTGAGATTCAGTGGAGACATCAAAAGCTTTGCAGATAAGCAAAAGCTTAGAGAATTCAACACCACCAAACCAGCTCTACAACAAATGCTAAAGGAACTTCTCTAACTGGGAAACACAAGAGAAGAAAAGGACCTACAAAAACAAACCCAAAACAATTAAGAAAATGGTCATAGGAACATACATATTGATAATTACCTTAAACGTGAAGGGATTAAATGCTCCAAACAAAAGACACAGGCTTGCTGAATGGATACAAAAACAAGACCCATATATATGCTGTCTACAAGAGACCCAATTCAGACCTAGGGACACATACAGACCAAAAGTGAGGGGATGGAAAAAGATATTCCCTGCAAATGGAAATCAAAAGAAACCTGGAGTAGCAATACTCATATCAGATAAACTAGACTTTAAAATAAAGAATGTTACAAGAGACAAGGAAGGACACTACATAACGATCAACGGATCAATCCAAGAAGAAGATATAACAATTATAAATGTATGTGCGCCCAATATAGGAGCACCTCAATACATAAGGCAACTGCTAACAGCTATAAAAGAGGAAATCGACAGTAACACAGTAATAGTGGGGGACTTTAACACCTCACTTACACCAATGGACAGATCATCCAAATTGAAAATTAATAAGGAAACACAAGCTTTAAATGACACAATACACCAGACAGATTGAACTGATATTCATAGGACATTCTATCCAAAAACAGCAGATTACACTTTCTTCTCAGGTGCACACAGAATATTCTCCAGCATAGATCATATCTTGGGTCACAAATCAAGACTCAGGAAACTTAAGAAAATTGAAATCATACCCAGCATCTTTTCTGACCACAACGCTATGAGATTAGAAACCAATTACAGGAAAAAAAAAAAAAAACGTAAAAAGCACAAACACATGGAGGCTAAACAATACATTACTAAGTAACCAAGAGATCACTGAAAAAATCAAAGAGAAAATGAAAAAATACCTAGTAACAAATGACAATGAAAACACAATGATCCAAAACCTATGGGATGCAGCAAAAGCAGTTCTAAGAGGGAAGTTTATAGCAATACAAGCCTATCTCAAGAAACAAGAAAAATCTCAAATAAACAATCTAAACTTACACCTAAAGGAACTAGAGAAAGAAGAATAAGCAAAACCCAAAGTTAGCAGAGGGAAAGAAATCATAAAGATCAGAGCAGAAATAAATGAAATAGAAACAAAGAAAACAATAGCAAAGATCAATAAAACTAAAAGCTGATTCTTTGAGAAGATAAACAAAACTAAGAAACCATTAGCCAGACTCATCAAGAAAAAGAGGGAGAAGACTCAAATAAATAAAATTAGAAATGAAAAAGGAGATGTTACAACAGACATCGCA